CGAGCGTGTGGATGAGTTACCTGAAGACAGGTGAGTGTGTGGATGAGTTACCTGAAGACAGGTGAGTGTGTGAATGAGTTACCTGTAGACAGGTGAGCGTGTGAATGAGTTACCTGAAGACAGGTGAGCGTGTGGATGAGTTACCTGAAGACAGGTGAGTGTGTGGATGAGTTACCTGAAGACAGGTGAGTGTGTGAATGAGTTACCTGTAGACAGGTGAGCGTGTGAATGAGTTACCTGAAGACAGGTGAGCGTGTGGATGAGTTACCTGAAGACAGGTGAGCATGTGAATGAGTTACCTGTAGACAGGTGAGCGTGTGAATGTCCCACACTCGGAAGACTCGTGCGGTGGAGAGGCTGATGATGTGCTGGTCTCGCTCGTTCATGGCGATGTCGATGATGGTGAACAAGTGGCCCATCAGTTTACCTGAGGGAACCCACGCAGACACTGGTAGTTTGTTCTCAATAACACACAATCTGCAGCACTTTTAGGGCCTAACTGTGTTGCAAGTGCTGTATAACTCTCACTAAAACTAGACTAAACGGAAAACAGTTGTGTAGACGTCTTTGATTTTAATCTTAGGAACTTTGCAGGTATACGCAGGACACCTGAGTTCAATTCCCGATCAAATGAGGAGAAAGGTGACATTCTTATCGAGTATGTTGGTCTTTTTGATGGGATTTTATACCCCTCTCAGTTCGGGTTGGCCTTGACCGGCAAAGCTGGAAGCCATTGTGTCAATGGAAGTTTAAAAACACTTAGAATAAACCCCTCTATTCTGCATTATTTATATGACCAGTCTTTCAAATGACACAAAACCCTTACTCTCTAGTGACATCTACTCTTTAGGCCTTTATATGACCTATTTGTGCTGAAAGTGCAGTAAAACACGTACTAAAACTAAACATTACAAGTGCAGTGGAAGCTACTTAATCTGAACAAAACTTGAAGAAAAGCAAAACAAAACAAAACGAAAAAGCAAAAAAAACCTCCCCAACCCAAAACTAAAGAAACAAAAAACAAACAAGCAAACAAGCAAAGATACACACACATCCCACAGACCCCACAAACACACAAACAAACAAACAAACAAACAAGCAAAGATACACACACATCCCACAGACCCCACAAACACACAAACAAACAAACAAACAAGCAAAGATACACACACATCCCACAAACCCCACAAACACACAAACAAACAAACAAACAAACCCCACAAACAAACAAACCCCACAAACAAACACACATCCTGTACCTGTGGGTCGAGAGAAGATGTGTGGGTGCCAGACACGGATGACCTTGTCCACACCCCCCGTGGCGATGATGTTTGCCCGGGCGCAGAAGTCGAAGCAGTTCACGCCTTTGGGGATGGCCACAGCACGAGATTCTCTGGGGGAAGATTATAGAGTCAGAGAGATGGTCTTTTACCCTCTACGTACGCACTGGGGTCGTTTTGTACCCCCAGGGTTGTGTTCCTCACATTTTAGAATACTTCTAGTGCGAAGATCTCTTTAAAACTTTCAGTATTTCTCAAAAAATCATTTTGACAGACTACTATGCAAAGCGTACGGATCGGATTAACGAGTAAATTTCCTCTTTGGAAAGTGGTGGCACAGAGTTCTCCACGTCGTATGGATACAATAGTAAAAGTAAAACACGACGTACGGATAGGATTAAAAAACATTCTTTATTGTTAGAAAAGTGCACCATATATACTCTTGTGGACAATAATGTGCACCTATATCATATACATATCATTATGTTACAGACTTTAAAATAGTGGGTGGTTGGCAGGCGCTCTGGTGTGGTTTGCTCCTTCCTTGCTATCAAACATCTATCGTCTTTATCTCTCCTTCTTCTTTTTTTGTGTATGTTACTCTCTTGTGACACATCTATTCTTCGGCACTTATATATGGTCTTATTGTGCTGCAAGTGCCGTAAAACTCTTACTAAAACTGAAACTAAAAAAGTCAGAGCAATGGTCTTTTAATTATTTTTTAACAATTTTTTTTAATTGTTAGGAAAATACACCACATACATCATTGTGGACATCAATGTGCACATATATCTTACACATATTGTTATGTTACAGACTTAAGAATAGTAAGTGGTTGGCAGGCACTCTGATGTGGTTCGCTCTTTCTTTCCTATAAAACATCTATCGTCCTTATTTTCCCCGTCTTCTTTTCTTTGAATATTACTCTCTAGGCAGGGTCAATTGAAAGTCTGCCTCCTAAATGATCTCATAAAGTATCTAAATTGTGTCAATGGGGGTATAAAAATACAAGCAGGTACATACATTTATACAGCAGTGGAGAGATTAGTCATCTTCTAAATTATGAAGGCCTATGTGCCCATTTGTTCTCCACAACTGATTTACTGGCAATTTGGTCATTACTGATTTATAGAGAATGTTTTTGGACACGGATCGACAGATGGTGCAGATGTTTTCTTTTACAAAGGTGGAAGATGTTAACTTTTTGAGGACGCAGCAAATATATCTGTCCTAGCAGCAGCAGACCAGATAGCACTGATGAGGCACACATCGAACCACCAAAGGCAAATCAGAGACATGAATTTGAATATTTCACGGTATGCATGTTATTCCCTGCCTTTGTAAGTTTAAGATGAAGGAAACAGAATCTGAAAATCTGTTAGAAGTAATGAATTTTGCGGGGGGATTTTTAAATGCCCCAAAACAATGCATCTTCAATCTTTGTAGAATAATCAGAATGCGCGTGGTCAAAGAGTTAAAAACTTTGTTTACAGTTCTCGTCCTCTTGTTTGTACAAATGTAGATGGAAATGACTTAACAGGAAAAGGGTTAAGATTCCCTCCCCCTCCAAGAACTCACTCATTGAGGTGGAAGATTTTGTCCACTTCCTCCAGGCAGAAGGAGAGATTGCTGCTGGGGGAACACGAGGCGAAACATCGCAGGTCGGGGAAATATTTCACCTGGTGGAGGACAGCACACACAGACAGTGGGATATTAGAAATGTTTTTGTTTGTTGGTAGGGAAACAAGATAAGATAAGATAAAATAAGATAAGATAAAATACGATAAGATAAGATAAGATGAAATAAAATAAGATAAGATAAGATAAGATAAGATAAGATAAGATAATACGTTATCGTCCTACAGGGAAAACATGCATAATATCGCCAGCAGGTTGCTCAAGTGTCATAAGCCAAAATAGCAACATTCTTTAGGAGAGAGAAAAAACTGTCTCAAACTCTTTTACAAGTTCTACCTACTCTACGTACACTTTCTTGCTTTTTTCAACATTCAGAATTTGAATTTCGACCTCATATTTTACTAATACTTGTAACCAAAACCACAGATTAAGAAATTTCAATAAGAGAAAATAAAATAGGGCTTAAAACATCTGAACAGCTGACCGATATTACACTCTGTAGACCACAGCCATTTAAATCCATACACATATTGTAGACGTAAAATGCTTTCTCACATGGCTGAATGATTGGGCCACAGGTACGACAGGAAGGAGGATGTATGGCCACATGAATAAACCACTGGTCAAAGATCCAATCAATGAGTTGAGGAGGGGAGATCAATCCATAATCTTACAACTTAGAACACAACATGTACCCCTCAACCAACATCTCAACCGAATTGGAGTAAAGTAGTCTGCTGCCTGCCCACTA